AGTTTCGTCGGAACGAAGTTACGGAAAGTTAATTAACAAACGGAGACGTAACATTATTATTATCGTCTTACCAACTACACAGATACAACGATTGTTAATAGAGCTTCCAAACAAACAATATTTGTTTTCCTAATATTCATACTTCTTTTCCAGTACATTGTTTAAAATAAATCCGAGAAAAAGGTAGTTTCTCTAAGTGACAATTATTTTCAAAAAATTAAATTTCACGTAAATGTGTAAAACTTGAACGAATTTCCAGAGCCCACTTAGCTAAGCTAGTAAATATCTATATCACATCAACAGTTTGTAAATAAGTGTCCTTTATATAAGCACATTCTTTAAGTACGTTTTATTGAAATACGTTATTTTTTATTTTACTGTGCTTCTTATTCAGTCTAGTTCATTTACTCTACGTATACAAACTACAACGTTTTTGAAGTGCATGTATGGTATAGTATCTGTTAAGTAGAGTTTCGGTGGTACAGATTTAGCGAAGGGGAAATACATACGTTAAACAGACAGATAAATGATAGACGACATCAAACAGCACGGGCTGAACACGTACATGAATAATAAGGAAGAGGCGAGGTTTTGCAATGTTACACCCCATAATAATAAAAGCCAAACAGTTAATAATCATATGTGTCATGTACGTAAATAACAAAGGTGTGTGTTGAAACAGCGCATGTGGAGCAGGAGGAAGGTACGTGCCCAAGGCTGGATGTACTAACGGATATGACAGCTAGTTTGAAATTACACTCATTGTTACATTATGTTTCTCATTTGTACCATTGATTTAAATGTTTTAAAATACAATAACAGAAAATGGTTATTCCCATAACGACATATTATTTGGTACCACATTTTACTAACGGTACTATACATGTTGTTATACCAGTTTTACTCAAGTGATGTTTATCATGCTATTATTGCTTTAGGGCAGAAGAACACACGAACCAATCAGCGTTCCCTAGACTATGGGGAAATCCCTCGCTTTATAATCGACGCATTTGCTGAACGAGTAGACAAACCTCTTTTATTTGCTTTCTCAGAAATCTAAAGGCATATTTTGGGCTACAAAAGCGTATCTCATTTTCAGCTTATGTGTTATAAGGTTTAGTTGTGTTCAGGTATGTATATTTGGTATTTAGATCTTAACTGTAGACAGATGTATCAGTACACGTTTTAATACAGGGTAAATGCTGTAGTGTAATTTTAAGGTCTTTTAGTTGCTAGTTTTTAAGAGTATTTATTGTTTGATAAAGTAATTTGTTTAGAGGCTCCAGTTAACGTTCTTTCATTGTGAAGTAGGTGGAGACGCAGTGTAAACTTTGTCCAAACGTATTTAAATATATAGAAAAAAGTCATGCTGTTGAGTCTAGTTGATAAGTCATCTTCACTTTCACCTTAATAGGTTCGAGATACGCGGTTGGAAACACGCACGCACAAACCTAATTACAATACCTTCGTGGGGCGACGGTAAAAATATATTAAAATTAACCACTGGGCGGTTGAGCGTTGATAGTTAGCTTGTTATGATGTATACTATAGGCTAATACTTAAAGTTCAACTGAAACTGGTTATGCTTTTCCTTTCCATGATGTAAGCTAGTATTTTCTACTGTTTGTTAAAATGAAAAGTGATTGATAATTATATGCTGTAGGCTTAGGACTCCCTGATTTAAACTATTGTGTTAAACTGGTTAATATGCTATAGGCCTAGGTCTACCTGGTGTAATCTAGTATTCGTTATAGGCCTAGCTAAGTATTTTTGATGTAAACTAATATTTGTTAAACTGAAATTGCTTAATGATAATGTTGTAGACCTAAGTCTCCCTGATTTTAGCTAGTACTTATCGATGTGAAAGTGGCCTCCCAGGCTTAGGTCTTTTAATACAGATGGATAGTGGCTGGTAGGTCTTTTAATACAGATGGATAGTGG